ATTATATTTGAATAGAAATGGTATGATTTCATCATAACGTCTTCTAGTGATATTATTATATTTGAATAGAAATGGTATGATTTCATCAAACGTCTTCTAGTGATATTATTATATTTGAATAGAAATGGTATGATTTCATCATAACGTCTTCTAGTGATATTATTATATTTGAATAGAAATGGTATGATTTCATCATAACGTCTTATAATGATATTATTATATTGACCTAGAATATGGTATGATTTCATCATAACGTCTTCTAATGAATTATTATATTTTGGATATTATGAATATGGTATGATTTCATCATAACGTCTTCTAGTGATATTATTATATTTGAATAGAAATGGTATGATTTCATCATAACGTCTTCTAGTGATATTATTATAGATTTGAATAGAATATGGTATGATTTCATCATACGTCTTCTAGTGATATTATTATATTTGAATAGAAATGGTATGATTTCATCATAACGTCTTCTAGTGATATTATTATATTTGAATAGAAATGGTATGATTTCATCATAACATCTTCTAGTGATATTATTATATTTGAATAGAAATGGTATGATTTCATCATAACGTCTTCTAGTGATATTATATATTTGAATAGAAATGGTATGATTTCATCATAACGTCTTCTAGTGATATTATTATATTTCAATAGAAATGGTATGATTTCATCATAACGTCTTCTAGTGATATTATTATATTTGAATAGAAATGGTATGATTTCATCATAACGTCTTCTAGTGATATTATTATATTTGAATAGAAATGGTATGATTTCATCATAACGTCTTCTAGTGATATTATTATATTTGAATAGAAATGGTATGATTTCATCATAACGTCTTCTAGTGATATTATTATATTTGAATAGAAATGGTATGATTTCATCATAACGTCTTCTAGTGATATTATTATATTTGAATAGAAATGGTATGATTTCATCATAACGTCTTCTAGTGATATTATTATATTTGAATAGAAATGGTATGATTTCATCATAACGTCTTCTAGTGATATTATTATATTTGAATAGAAATGGTATGATTTCATCATAACGTCTTCTAGTGATATTATTATATTTGAATAGAAATGGTATGATTTCATCATAAGGTCTTCTAATGATATTATTATATTTGAATAGAAATGGTATGATTTCATCATAAGGTCTTCTAATGATATTATTATATTTGAATAGAAATGGTATGATTTCATCATAACGTCTTCTAGTGATATTATTATATTTGAATAGAAATGGTATGATTTCATCATAACGTCTTCTAGTGATATTATTATATTTGAATAGAAATGGTATGATTTCATCATGACGTCTTCTAGTGATATTTATTATATTTGAATAGAAATGGTACGATTTCATCATAACGTCTTCTAGTGATATTATTATATTTGAATAGAAATGGTATGATTTCATCATAACATCTTCTAGTGATATTATTATATTTGAATAGAAATGGTATGATTTCATCATAACGTCTTCTAGTGATATTATTATATTTGAATAGAAATGGTATGATTTCATCATAACGTCTTCTAGTGATATTATTATATTTGAATAGAAATGGTATGATTTCATCATAACGTCTTCTAGTGATATTATTATATTTGAATAGAAATGGTATGATTTCATCATAACGTCTTCTAGTGATATTATTATATTTGAATAGAAATGGTATGATTTCATCATAACGTCTTCTAGTGATATTATTATATTTGAATAGAAATGGTATGATTTCATCATAACGTCCTCTAGTGATATTATTATATTTGAATAGAAATGGTATGATTTCATCATAACGTCTTCTAGTGATATTATTATATTTGAATAGAAATGGTATGATTTCATCATAACGTCTTCTAGTGATATTATTATATTTGAATAGAAATGGTATGATTTCATCATAACGTCTTCTAGTGATATTATTATATTTGAATAGAAATGGTATGATTTCATCATAACGTCTTCTAGTGATATTATTATATTTGAATAGAAATGGTATGATTTCATCATAACGTCTTCTAGTGATATTATTATATTTGAATAGAAATGGTATGATTTCATCATAACGTCTTCTAGTGATATTATTATATTTGAATAGAAATGGTAAGATTTCATCATAAGGTCTTCTAATGATATTATTATATTTGAATAGAAATGGTATGATTTCATTATAACGTCTTCTAGTGATATTATTATATTTGAATAGAAATGGTATGATTTCATCATAACGTCTTCTAGTGATATTATTATATTTGAATAGAAATGGTATGATTTCATCATAACGTCTTCTAGTGATATTATTATATTTGAATAGAAATGGTACGATTTCATCATAACGTCTTCTAGTGATATTATTATATTTGAATAGAAATGGTATGATTTCATCATAACATCTTCTAGTGATATTATTATATTTGAATAGAAATGGTATGATTTCATCATAACGTCTTCTAGTGATATTATTATATTTGAATAGAAATGGTATGATTTCATCATAACGTCTTCTAGTGATATTATTATATTTCAATAGAAATGGTATGATTTCATCATAACGTCTTCTAGTGATATTATTATATTTGAATAGAAATGGTATGATTTCATCATAACGTCTTCTAGTGATATTATTATATTTGAATAGAAATGGTATGATTTCATCATAACGTCTTCTAGTGATATTATTATATTTGAATAGAAATGGTATGATTTCATCATAACGTCTTCTAGTGATATTATTATATTTCAATAGAAATGGTATGATTTCATCATAACATCTCCTAGTGATATTATTATATTTGAATAGAAATGGTATGATTTCATCATAACGTCTTCTAGTGATATTATTATATTTGAATAGAAATGGTATGATTTCATCATAACGTCTTCTAGTGATATTATTATATTTCAATAGAAATGGTATGATTTCATCATAACGTCTTCTAGTGATATTATTATATTTCAATAGAAATGGTATGATTTCATCATAACATCTCCTAGTGATATTATTATATTTGAATAGAAATGGTATGATTTCATCATAACGTCTTCTAGTGATATTATTATATTTGAATAGAAATGGTATGATTTCATCATAACGTCTTCTAGTGATATTATTATATTTGAATAGAAATGGTATGATTTCATCATAACGTCTTCTAGTGATATTATTATATTTGAATAGAAATGGTATGACTTCATCATAACGTCTTCTAGAGATATTGTTATATTTGAATAAAAATGGTATGATTTCATCATAACGTCCTCTAGTGATATTTTCGTGAAACCTCAAACTTGGGTAATTAAATTTTTATTTAACATGAAGCAAATAATAGCGCTTTATACATATCGTACGGATGCTACACCGATTTTTCCTGAGAAGCTGTCGAAGTTTTGTTACGGACCACTGGCCATCCTCTTCCTTTTGTTGATGAACCTGGTTTAATATCCAGTTTGGCAATTTGGATTCTATTATCGTTTCGATTGTAGGTTGCTCTACGTTTTCGCCAATTGCTTCTAACTGCCTTAGAACTCTCTCCATTTCTTCGATTATTGTTTTCCGGTCTCTGTCGTTTCGTTTTGTAGATATGAGTTCATTGTAAAGTAATTTTCTTATAGTGGAAACACGACCAAATTTCTCCACTAATAATTCTCTTATAATTCTATAGTTTTCAGGTGCCCTATCGTAACCTCTTACTAGCCGTAGGGCGTTTCCTCTTAAGCAAGAAACCAAGTAATTTAATTTTGGATATCTGGTATGTTTTGAGAGTGTACGGAGGCTTCGAAACTACTCCAGAATTCTCTCCATGTTTCAGGGTCTCCACTAAACGTTGGTAACGACAATTGTGGTAAATTTACTACTGGATGACATTCAGTTAAGCTAGGTTCTTTAATTTGTGCTAGACGTTTAAGGGCTAACTCTGTATCATCTTTGTACATGGATAAGGTTATAATGGTATCCGTACCTGTGTTAATTAATTTTAAAGTACCTCTATCGTCGTTTGCCATTCGTTCATATATTTTCTTCTTCTTTTTCTTTTGCGACATTGGGGCTAGTTGAATGTGTTCCAACCATTTGTCGTTGATCTTCTCAAGAGTGCCAACGTATTTTCGAGGCGCATCAACTTTTCTTTGATGATCCTCGCCCTTGCTTCGTATTGCTGGCACAATACTTCTACTGTCGCTTTTTGGTCTAACGGAGTTAGATCCAATTTTCGTATTTCATCGAGGAGTCCCTCAAGATTCGCTTTTACTGGTGTAGCTTGAACAATTATACTAGCCGACATACCTACCTCACCTCGATACACCAAAAATTATTTTTGTCGTGAAATCTCAAAGTTGGGTAATTAAACCTTTATTTAACATGAAGCAAATAATAGCGCTTTATACATATCGTACGGATGCTACACCGATTAACAAACGCGTAACAAAAGATATAATTATAAAACATTAAAACGATATCAAAACCACCCCAAAATGCAGAATGAACCACCGTATGGAGGACGATGGTTTATATGCATAACTGAGCTGATCAGATATCCGACAGAGGATATTTAACTGATGTGAAACAAAGACTGCTAATAAAGGGTTTTGCTAACAAAGGGTTTGCTAACAAAGGGTTTTTGTTGTGTGAGGAAAAGGAATCAGATAAGAGTAATTTGTTAGTTTTGGATATAATAATTTAAATCTTTCGTCTTTCACGACACTCCCGACCAGAAAAGGTAGCTAATGCGTGGGGTTCATGAGAAAGTAGGGGTTGTTTACTTCCATTGATCTGTTTTTGATCGTGTAAATCTCTATAGGTTTCTGATGATGGTGCGGTGATAGTTGTTTGGTCCTCCTTTAATCGAGATTGTCGTTTTGTATTGCTCCTAGTTCGCATCGCAATAGGTTCCTGGAGCTCCTCAGTGTTCTGTTCGGTTTCCGGAATTTTCATATTTTCTTTCTTATTAGGTTCAAGATGAATTTCTTCATCATTAACTTCGAGAGGATACAAGACATTTATTGGACGATCGAGAAGTTTCCCAGTGGGAGTTTCCACCTGAACGTTCCTAACTTTACCGTCTTTATCGATTTTGATGTCCTTGATCCGTAATAATTTCCACATTCCTCTTGGAATTCCCGATTCATTTAAGAGTACAATCTCTCCCTTTCTTGGAGTTCTTTTTGTGCTCCTTTGGATGAGGTAATTTCCTTTGCGTGCGTTCTCTGAGGCTAGTTAAATATTCGGTTCTCCAGATCTCCCAAAAACATTGAGAGTTTTAAGGGTACTTTCCCAGTGTCTCACGAGTTTTCTCTGGTATCTAGTCTATAAGGGTGAATTCTTCCTGCCTGCTGTAAACTTCATTTATAGGTAGATGGAGCGAAGCGCTAGGCAATATAAAATCAATTAGACGTATAATGACGCAATCGTCAAAATTGGCGTAAGTTAGTGGTCGGGTATTAAGTATACCTTCAACTTCTGCAATTAATGTTACCAGTTCCCTTTCCGCTAGAAATTTTCTGCCAATGGCTCTTCTTAGCGCATTTTTCGTTAACCCAATTAATCTTTCGTAGATTCCTCCTTGCCACGGAGCTTTTGGTATAATATCCTAGTGATATTATTATATTTGAATAGAAATGGTATGATTTCATCATAACGTCTTCTAGTGATATTATTATATTTGAATAGAAATGGTATGATTTCATCATAACGTCTTCTAGTGATATTATTATATTTGAATAGAAATGATATGATTTCACCATAACGTCTTCTAGTGATATTATTATATTTGAATAGAAATGGTATGATTTCATCATAACGTCTTCTAGTGATATTATTATATTTGAATAGAAATGGTATGATTTCATCATAACGTCTTCTAGTGATATTATTATATTTGAATAGAAATGGTATGATTTCATCATAACGTCTTCTAGTGATATTATTATATTTGAATAGAAATGGTACGATTTCATCATAACGTCTTCTAGTGATATTATTATATTTGAATAGAAATGGTATGATTTCATCATAACGTCTTCTAGTGATATTATTATATTTGAATAGAAATGGTATGATTTCATCATAACGTCTTCTAGAGATATTGTTATATTTGAATAAAAATGGTATGATTTCATCATAACGTCCTCTAGTGATATTTTCGTGAAACCTCAAACTTGGGTAATTAAATTTTTATTTAACATGAAGCAAATAATAGCGCTTTATACATATCGTACGGATGCTACACCGATTTTTCCTGAGAAGCTGTCGAAGTTTTGTTACGGACCACTGGCCATCCTCTTCCTTTTGTTGATGAACCTGGTTTAATATCCAGTTTGGCAATTTGGATTCTATTATCGTTTCGATTGTAGGTTGCTCTACGTTTTCGCCAATTGCTTCTAACTGCCTTAGAACTCTCTCCATTTCTTCGATTATTGTTTTCCGGTCTCTGTCGTTTCGTTTTGTAGATATGAGTTCATTGTAAAGTAATTTTCTTATAGTGGAAACACGACCAAATTTCTCCACTAATAATTCTCTTATAATTCTATAGTTTTCAGGTGCCCTATCGTAACCTCTTACTAGCCGTAGGGCGTTTCCTCTAAGCAAGAAACCAAGTAATTTAATTTTGGATATCTGGTATGTTTTGAGAGTGTACGGAGGCTTCGAAACTACTCCAGAATTCTCTCCATGTTTCAGGGTCTCCACTAAACGTTGGTAACGACAATTGTGGTAAATTTACTACTGGATGACATTCAGTTAAGCTAGGTTCTTTAATTTGTGCTAGACGTTTAAGGGCTAACTCTGTATCATCTTTGTACATGGATAAGGTTATAATGGTATCCGTACCTGTGTTAATTAATTTTAAAGTACCTCTATCGTCGTTTGCCATTCGTTCATATTTTTCTTCTTCTTTTTTCTTTTGCGACATTGGGGCTAGTTGAATGTGTTCCAACCATTTGTCGTTGATCTTCTCAAGAGTGCCAACGTATTTTTCGAGGCGCATCAACTTTTCTTTGATGATCCTCGCCCTTGCTTCGTATTGCTGGCACAATACTTCTACTGTCGCTTTTTGGTCTAACGGAGTTAGATCCAATTTTCGTATTTCATCGAGGAGTCCCTCAAGATTCGCTTTTACTGGTGTAGCTTGAACAATTATACTAGCCGACATACCTTACCTCACCTCGATACACCAAAAATTATTTTTGTCGTGAAATCTCAAAGTTGGGTAATTAAACCTTTATTTAACATGAAGCAAATAATAGCGCTTTATACATATCGTACGGATGCTACACCGATTAACAAACGCGTAACAAAAGATATAATTATAAAACATTAAAACGATATCAAAACCACCCAAAATGCAGAATGAACCACCGTATGGAGGACGATGGTTTATATGCATAACTGAGCTGATCAGATATCCGACAGAGGATATTTAACTGATGTGAAACAAAGACTGCTAATAAAGGGTTTTGCTAACAAAGGGTTTGCTAACAAAGGTTTTTGTTGTGTGAGGAAAAGGAATCAGATAAGAGTAATTTGTTAGTTTTGGATATAATAATTTAAATCTTTCGTCTTTCACGACACTCCCGACCAGAAAAGGTAGCTAATGCGTGGGGTTCATGAGAAAGTAGGGGTTGTTTACTTCCATTGATCTGTTTTTGATCGTGTAAATCTCTATAGGTTTCTGATGATGGTGCGGTGATAGTTGTTTGGTCCTCCTTTAATCGAGATTGTCGTTTTGTATTGCTCCTAGTTCGCATCGCAATAGGTTCCTGGAGCTCCTCAGTGTTCTGTTCGGTTTCCGGAATTTTCATATTTTCTTTCTTATTAGGTTCAAGATGAATTTCTTCATCATTAACTTCGAGAGGATACAAGACATTTATTGGACGATCGAGAAGTTTCCCAGTGGGAGTTTCCACCTGAACGTTCCTAACTTTACCGTCTTTATCGATTTTGATGTCCTTGATCCGTAATAATTTCCACATTCCTCTTGGAATTCCCGATTCATTTAAGAGTACAATCTCTCCCTTTCTTGGAGTTCTTTTTTGTGCTCCTTTGGATGAGGTAATTTCCCTTTGCGTGCGTTCTCTGAGGCTAGTTAAATATTCGGTTCTCCAGATCTCCCAAAAAACATTGAGAGTTTTAAGGGTATCTTTCCCAGTGTCTCACGAGTTTTTCTCTGGTATCTAGTCTATAAGGGGTGAATTCTTCCTGCCTGCTGTAAACTTCATTTATAGGTAGATGGAGCGAAGCGCTAGGCAATATAAAATCAATTAGACGTATAATGACGCAATCGTCAAAATTGGCGTAAGTTAGTGGTCGGGTATTAAGTATACCTTCAACTTCTGCAATTAATGTTACCAGTTCCCTTTCCGCTAGAAATTTTCTGCCAATGGCTCTTCTTAGCGCATTTTTCGTTAACCCAATTAATCTTTCGTAGATTCCTCCTTGCCACGGAGCTTTTGGTATAATATTTTTCCAAGTCATTCCTCCTTTGCTAGGAAGTTGGAGACTTTGACTTGTGTCATAAGAGATCTGAAAGCCTGGAATTGAGTGGCATTGTCACTCAGAATTAGCTCAGGACACCCTCGTCTCGCAACAAATCTTCGGATAGCATGCAAAAAGGTTTCTGCGGATTGGTCTTCTGCTAATTCGAGATGCATGGCTCTTGTTGTAAAGTATGTAAATAATATTACCCACCTTTTTGTTGACACGCTATTGCCCTTGATTGAAAGAGGGCCAAAATAATCCACGCCAACACGTGCGAAGGCTCTAGATCGATTGACACGAGTTTCCGGGAGACTTGCCATTGATGGTAATTTAAACGATCTGGAGTTCCAACATTTACAGATTCGACATCTGTTTATTATTCGCTTTACTTCAGTCCTGCCTTTGGGAATCCAAAATCTACTCCTTAATTCTGAAAGTGTATGGGCGATACCTGAATGACATAAATTTTCATGTTCGTATAGTATAAGGAGTTCTGTTATTGGATTGTGTCGAGGGAGATAGATAGGATATTTGCTGGTTTCAGGCAGTTCCGAGTTCACGAGTCGGCTAGTAGATCTCCATAGTTTATCATCTTCGGTGTGGAATAAATTCCACTTGTTTATTTCGTCGTCATTGATTCCTTCAGATTGTGCTTGTCTAATTAACAGCCATTCTGACACTTTGTAATCTTCAGCTGTAAATCGATTTCTTTCGATTGAAACAGACTGTAGCCATGATAATCTGCCTTGCCTTTAGCTTTCTCCCTCCCTCTTTAGTTGTTAATCGAATGAATTTAAGGATCCACGCTGTTGTTCGTAACAGTCTTAGCCATTTGCTAAAACGTTTGCTATCAATAAATTGAAAATTATGATCCTTGCATATTCGCGAGACTTCTGATATAGTGATTTCTTCTGGTTCGTCACTGTTATCAAATTCGTATTCCCATTGTGGCCAACTGATTTCTCCTTTTACTAGCCACGACGGTCCACGCCACCATGGTGTAAAATTTCTAAGTTGGTTTGGATTAAGACCTCTAGTTGCCACGTCTACAGGGTTATCTTCTGATGGAATATAACGAAAAATAAATTTCGCTTTACTATTTCCTCGACTCGGTTTTGAACAAATCTTGGTAATAGGTTAGAATGGTTTTTTATCCAATGTAAAGCACATTTAGAATACGACCATAAAATTATCCTTGTATTGACGATATCCAGCTGTGTTATGACAAATTGCGCTGCTCGCGTTCCGATTAGTATGGCCATTAGCTCTAGACGCGGTATTGTCATACCTTTAATAGGAGCAATGCGAGATTTTGCAAAAATGAGCGATGAGTTTGTTCCTTTCATATCCTGACTCACTAAATACACTGCTGCTGAATATGCTACGCTTGAAGCATCGGTAAATACATGTATTCCAATTAAGTCTGTAGAAGTTGTTACAAATCGCGGTAAGTCTTTTACGACCGTTGCCCAATCAGCAATAAGAAATTTCCATTGCTTATGGTCTTGCTCATCTAATGTCTGATCCCACGAATTATTCTTTTTCCATAAATTTTGCAAAAATATTTTAAATCTTACCATTATTGGAACTAAAAATCCTAGTGGGTCATATTGTGATGCAACAAAGTTAAA